CCTTACCTAACTTATCCCTAGCCTCAGAAAAAAAATTTTTTAACTTTAAGATTAGGTCTTTCCGAGTTGCCTTGGCTGAGCTGGAACTTGTGCCCTTTCTGCCTCAGCCTTCCAGAGTGCTGGAGGAGCTTTTTTGTCTGTTTTTAAATGCAACTTCTTAGTGAGAAAAATGCCATAAACCTCTGAAGTAACTTTCCTGTTCCTATTTTGGCAAACTGTACCACCAAGAATGCCACTTGCATCCAGGAGTGCTTTCCCTCTCCCCGAGAAAAAAGTTCTCAGAGATTTTATTTCAGTTCTCAATTTGGAAAATATCATTCCCTTAACAACATAGTTTACATAACTCTCCAGAAAGTTATATAATTGTATAATTATTAAACAATAGTATGTCAATGTATGGGCAGAGGATTTAACTCAGTGGTTCCTCTTGCCTTGCAAGCGAAAGGTCCTCAGTTCGATCCCCAGTACAAAGAAAAAAAAACATATGTATATATATATATATATCTATCAATGTTTATAGCAATACATTTTAAGTTTTGCCATTGTTTGAAATTGAATTTTAGCTAATGAGTGACTTCTTTTCATTTACTTATTACTAAATTACTTATTACTGTTTTATGGCCCTCAAATTTCTAGGTGATTAATGCACAGCTAATATGAATAAAGCTGCTCAGGAGAAGGAGGTCTCTGCCAGTTTGAGAGAACTTCATCCATACCTTTTAAAAAGGGATTGGGGCTGTATTAGTTGAGTCGATGGCACCTACGTTTGAGATTTAGGGGAACCTTCACATTTTATAGCAAGGGGAAGATAGGAGAGCGGCTGATGATTTCCCAAAACAGAGCACTAACCCATAACCATAAATCGCTTCTCCAATACAATTTCTCACCTAGAGTTACGTCAACATACTACAAAGTATTTTTATTGAGTTTATTGGTACATTTTAGGTATACAGTATAGTTACATTCATCATTGGGATCTTGTACCTTTACATGACAGGTCTTGATCCTTGCTTTTTCCCCATATCCCTGCCCTCCCTTCACCCACTCCACCCTTCCCTATTTACAAAGACTTTGTTCCCACTATTTCCTTTTTTCACGGTTTTTGTTTTCCTTTATTTCTTTTCCCCTCCCCTTCCCATCTCCCCTTTAGCCATTTTCTTCCTATTTCATGCTGTGAATTCTAGGCCTTTTTCTACTTCTCCTTCCTACCTGAGGCTGACATGGCACCTTTTTTAAACTGCCGAATTGTCTCAGAAATTTGAGAGGTTTGAACATGGCAAGTTAATAAAAGAGTGGTCATTGCCCAATGTTTATAGCAAAATTCTGGTATAATATAGCAAAAATATGACAATTATTTCAGAATAAATCCTCTTACTTTTGCTGAGCAAAACTGATGTATCAGGAATACCTGCAAAGCAATGCTGTAGTACGAGTGTCCTCTTGAAGCCCTTAAAAGCTACATGCCTGCAATTTTAAGGGAATTTAGATTGTGCGTGTGTGTGTGTGTGTGTGTATTTATTTATGGCACATAAGATTAGAGCCTTACTGAGTTTTGTGGACCGTAATTAAAATTTTTTTGTGAGCCACATTGTTATATTTTAGCATTCAATTTCAGCATAAATGAGAATCTGGCAGACATTGAGCTCTATATGTGATCAGTTGAATCTTTTAATTTGTCAAATTCTAGTTTAAAAGTAAGAATGTATTGACTTTGCAAGGGGCCTTCAGCCCAAGTTTATTTTAACAATTAAATAAAAAAATGAGATACCTTAAACATTCATTAGTAAGAAACAAAAATCAAAATTAATTTACAACCTGCTATAATCAGATTGCTTTAAAACAGAAACATTCTCTTTAACACAAAGGTCTTTGTTGTGCTGACCCTGTGCTTTAATGAAATGGAACTATTTCTATGTAGTAGACTATTTCAAATCCCAGGTTAAA